TCACCTTTTTACTTTTGACTTAAGATTTGATTTTTTTACTCTCTCTTTTTGGTTTCTTCTCGCCTATACCCCACCATCTTATTTAATATTCCCCTCCCAAATCTTTCTTTTGTTTCTTTCTTCCTTTCACTTTTACTTTTCTTTTAATTTTTTACTTCTTTCATCTTCTTCTCTCTTCCTTTCCGCCGCCACCTCCATAGCCGACCAAAGCTTCAAGCTTCTTTACTTTTTCATCTTTTTCTATTCCCATCATGGTACGATCCCAACCATCTTCTTCTGTAACACCACTGTTTATGGATGATACCGCCCAAGACCGATTCCAAACCATAAAAAACTGACGGGTCTTTTTTGAGTTGGGGTTTTTTTCTCCGAGGAGGAGGATGATGTCTTCGAAAGTGAGGTGCTCGATATGGTTAACAAGCATAAGTGGTAAAAATTTGCCAAGCATCCTGCCACTGTCAACGCATCGATAGTGAAGGAGTTTTACTCAAACATCTCCGAGCCAAACCAGCATGCTGTCATGGTTCGCGAAATTTCTATTCAATTTACTCCTACTACTATTAATCGTTACTTTAAATTGCAGGTTCTGGAAGACCGCCATGCCACATTCGTGCAGGAAACAGACAACGAAACATACCAAGGCATTCTGGAAGACCTCTGTTTTCCAGACACCCAATGGAACGGCTAGCAACTGAGTCGTAGGACCGTGGACCGGGAGAAGCTGCTCCCGCAAGTAAAGTTGTGGAACCATTTTCTGAAGCACAAGCTTTTGCCCACTTCCCACAACATCACCGTGTCTTGCCAGCGGATGCTTTTACTGCACTCAATCATATTCGGGCGCCCCATTGATGTAGGGAAAATCATTGTAGAGCAAGCCCATTTATGCCTAATGCGACCTGCAAGTGCCATGGTATTTCCAAATCTCATCAATGCCTTATGCCGTAAAAAGAAGGTTCTTGAAGAATAGTTTGATGAGATTTTATCGGGTATTCCTGGAATTACCACGATAAAAATCCCTATGTTGTTGGGTTTGAAGGACGCAAAAGGAAAAGAAAAGGAGGTAACCACATCTCGTGTTTCACCATCTCCACATGCCAGGGCAAACTCAGATGCCCTGGAGCAGGCAATCCAGTGCACTCAAGAGCACCTCGGGCAACTGTCTGACAAACTGATGATATATTTTGCCTACGCTAAGCGCGGGATGAGTTTTTCACCAACGTCTTCTTAGAGTTTCTCCCGCATATGAACTTCACCGTCCCAAACTTTCTTTAAACACTATTGCCACCAAATGAGGATGCCGAGGCATCTGCAGAAGTACCTCGTCCTACCACTGCCGACGCTCCTCAATCACCTAGTGCAGAAAGTCCCCAACCCGCTAAAGCAGAAGAGCCCACCGACCCTGATCCAGTTCATGCTGTATCGCCTGATACATATCGAGAAGTCAACCTCCAACTCGCTCATCGCCCGGAATCCCCATAATTTGTTAAACCCCTGGTGGCAGAACATCCTAATATGCCACAACCTGTCGCGCCAATGGAAGAATAGCACCCCAAAGTACCACAGCCCACCGAGTCAACCGAGGAGTCACAATTCGAGATGCCACGACAAGCTCCTTTGCGTAGGACCCGACGCCGCCTGAAGAAGGTATCTAAGCGTTATGAGACCCAACTCTCAACTGTACCAGAAGGTCCCAGTACTCCTACGATCGCACCCGCGTCTGACTCCGAACACTCTAGCCCCACCAAATTGAGAAAGCGTCCTCGGCACGCGACTGCTGCACCACCACCCGCCTAGAGTCAAGGTACCTTGCATTCCATTGCATTCATAGCATGTAGTTTCATTTTCTTTCGTTTTAATAAGCATTGAGGATAATGCCTCTCTCAAGTTTGGGGGAAGTAGAGTTCTCGCATCATTGCATGATAGTATCAGTAAAATAAATATGCCATGACATTAGTAAATGTTTGAATAGTTTTATGGAATTAGTTAAGGATGCCCGATGATGATGAATTCTTGATGGCTAGGAAAAAATATACAAGACTGGTTGAGGATGATAGAACCAACTCTGACTTGCTTCTTTGAAATCCTTGAATACACGATTTTATGTTTTCCATGCTTGAGAAACTTAGAAATTTTTTATAAGAGAATTCTAAATGTCGTGGCATAAAACTTTGAATGAAGAAAACTCCTTTATGTTTAAAAAAAATTGAAATGAATGAAGTTATGAATAAATGCCTTGATATATCTGTAGAGGGACACTCCGCTCTTCCATGACATATGAGTAAATGAAAGATGTCACGGGATAACTCTACCTGACTAGCTCGGGGGTGGAAGATATGCTCCCTTTCACCAAGAGTGTGGGATGGTAGAGTGATGGGCTGACTCCCCTCGTAGCAGAATTAATAAAAAGAAAAGAAACCGAAGTGGGAGTGGATTTTTTTAAAATGTCATGGCAAATTAAGAAAGCTTGCTTAGAAAATTTTTAAGTTTGTCAAGCATGGGTTAGATATAAACACGCACACACCCACACAAAGAATCTTGCCCTAGGGGACAGTACTATATTTCTCGAACCAGTCTAGCATGTTGAAGCCATATGTGCTGAGGGCTAAAATTTTATCCATAAGATTATTCTGCTTCTGAACTTGTCATGGTCTTTTTGTTTTGCTTATTACTATCCATTGCTTGAGGACAAGCAATAACTTAAGTTTGGGGGTGTGTCTAATAGCTCATTTAGGACCATGTAGATCCATTTAGAAGCATTTAGTTGCATGTGGTGGAATTCAGTTTGTCGTGGCATTTTATTTTTAAAGCAGTACTGCCTTATGGGAAAGGTTCTTGTCTGATGATGTGCAGGAATTAAAAGTAAGGGAAAAGAGAAAAGTAAATGTCGTGACATAAGGAAATTGCTGAGCAAAATGCAATTACCAAGTTCTACTGCATTTCGAAAGCGCTTTAAGTGCGAGAAGATATTTTATAAGCCAGCTATCTCCGACTTCTGATAGCTTGCCCGAGAAATCCACCTCAAAGATCTACCTGGAGGGATCAACACTGCAACCGCCGGTCCTTCTGATCACACTGCCTGACCCTGTAGATCATGTCTGTCCTTGGGCGCCTGCAACGGGATTATGCTAGTCACTCAGCCAGCTACCTAGACTGTATCATAGCCTGTCTTGCCCGACTTCCAAGTAAATTAACCATAGTTTTGGGGTTTCTTAGGAAAGTCAACACCAAGTCCTAGGATTAGTTTTTCCCTATAAATAGAGGATGAAGCCACATTGTTGATGACTTTGGTTCCACCCAGATTTGAGCTTAAAAAGTTAGAGAGAGAAGGACTCATCTTTCTCCGTCAATCCTACTTGTCGTGGCATTTCCCCTTGACAAGCCTGAGGGAGTGGTCATGAGCGTCCGAGTGGAGCTAGTTCGCTGAGAGCAGTTCTTGGTGGCCGAGGGAAGCATTGGGCAGTGCACGTTGAAGGCTTTCTCTGATCCCCTTAGTTGTTTGCTTTCATATTTTGTTATTGGGTTGTAAGGAATAGATGAAACTTGCTTTGTGCTTGTTTATTTCAAACCCCACCATGAACTAATCCTATTTGGTGGGAGTTTGCTTGGATGTTTAAGTTTTTATTTCAATGAATGATTGTTTTTCTATGCTTTAACTTGTTTTGTTTATGAAACTTAATGCCTTAAGGTTGTAGGAGTTACGAGAGTAGCCTTTTCTTAGGAGGTTTTTAGGGTTCGAGAGAATGCCTTGGCAAAATATCCTTAGTATTCGAGAGAAACTAGGGGGAACTATATAAACAAGGGGTTCTAGGTAATAACTAGGGGTGTGCAAAATTACCCGACCCGGTTGACCCGACCCGCCGACCCGGATCTAAAAAACCGGGTAATTCTTTAAAAAAAATTACTCGGCGGGTCGGGTACCCGGCCCGACATTTCCCGGGTCGGGCCCGGGTCACAAAATATAGTTTTTCCGGTACCCGGTTTCCCGAGTACCCGATTAGTTTTTATTTTTTTTTATTTTTTATATATAATTATATAAAATATAATGAATTATTTATATTATGGATTATTATATTTTGTATTTTGAACTTTTAAATTTTATGTTCGGATATTAGAGTATGTAATTCGAAGTTTTGAACATTTAAATTTGTGTATATATTTTTTTAAATTAATAATTTGAAATAAAAAATTAAAAACCGGGTATCGGGTACCCAATTACCGGGTACCCGCAAAATCCGGGTACCCGATTACCGGGTACCCGTAACATCCGGGTCGGGACACGGGCCGAGAAATCGTCGACTTGCACACCCCTAGTAGTAACTAGGCCTAATCCACCTTAGAGATAAGGTTAGGATTTCATTCGACTAAAAAGATTTGTGCAACAACGATAGGTTAGATGCTAATGCTTCCGCAAAAAGGTATTGCTGAGACATATCCTGTTATCTGAACCAATAGGATCACTGCAGGGGTTTACGCCAATCGGTTTTGCCAGGGCATCTTTAATCTGTCGAGTCCCTTACTAGAGATAGCATAGTGCACCTTAGTAGACTCTGTCGGGCAGGATAGAAATAAAAGAAATACCATTCGGAGAAATAGACTTAGATTTTCCCAGTGACTCCTATCACTCATTCCTATAGCAGCTTGTCTTGTGAGAAAGCTAAAGTCCTATATATCAAATCATATATTTACATTTTATTTTGCTTTGACATTTCCATTTGTTTGCACTCAACACAATTAAATTTGCCACGACGTTTCCATCAACTTTGCCACGGCATATCCATTTGCTACCACATTACCATCATTCTATTTTGCCACATCATTATCATTTGTACATACCATAACTAACTTTACTTAGGTGACAAAGTAAAGTGTATTGACAAACCTATTTGATTTCCCCAATTCCCTGCGGAGATGATACTCAACTTATCACTGTATTACTTTTTCGATTGTGTATACTTGCACATATATCCACACTCATTTATAGTACTCATACCGAGCGGACACTATGTCATCAACAAGAAAGATGAAATTGAGAGAGTTGCCAAGGCCAACTGTTGAGGAGGGTTTAAGAAGAAATGAATCAACCAATAGTAGTGGAAATTTTTGTTTTTTCTATTAATATTTTTTTAGAATAAATGCATGTTTTGGGTTTGTTATTTTTTTTGGCTAAAATCGATACATAGGAAAATTAAATTAAATTTTATTTTTAAATGATTTTAAGTGATTATAAGGTGGTATTTATTTAAAAAAATTTAATCAATTGATAATGTATATATATTTTTTACTAATAAAACTATTTTTTTATAAATTTGGTATGAATACAAGATAATATTTGTTCAAAGACTCTCAACTATTTAACAATGAATACTTACACCCCTGACATTTACGGCATTTGAATCAAAAACCTCAAAAGATAATAATAAATCTTTTAATTATTAAAGTTACTTGATTCGTACTACTAATAAAATTATTTAATGAGTCATTTGTTCGGGATTTATATAATTAAAAATGAAAATCTATTATAACAAAAAAATGTACTCTTTCCAGAGAAAATTCCATTATTACGCTACATAGTACATACATATATTGTTTCAAAATAATTAATACGTACACAAACATTTACCTTGAAATATATGATAATATCATTTGATTTTGCAACCTTGAGCGGCAAGGAATGCAAATGGCAGGATTACACGTTTGCCTCCGTTAAAACATGCGCTTCAATCCCTCATCTAAAAACACTAATCAAAACTTCCAGCTCCAATCCGTCTACGTATTTAATTACTTAATTATTTTGTGGTTTCATTTTAATTATTAAGTTATTTTTAAATCATATTTAAATCTAAATACGTACACAATTTGTTCATTTACGTTCGTGAACGTTCGGTTATGTTCGTTCGGTTATGTCCGTTTATGTTCGTTCGGTTATCGTTTATGTTCATTCATTTATGTTTAACCCAATCTTCTTAAATCAATTTTGGTGACCAATTTGTAAGTATCTTAAAAATATTAATTAATCTGATATTCTGATGACCAATTCCATAATTAATCCAATTTTATTTAGAGATTAAATCCAATATGTTAACCCGTGAGACAACTCACACCTATATTCATTTCCCCTTTTTTTTCCAAACCCTAGTGTTCACTAGAGAGTGGAGACGGTCGCTGAAAACTTCAAAACAAGTTATATTATTGTGCAATCTGAAGTTTTACAGGTGTGCTTTCATCTCTTTCTTTGTTTTATTTGACTTAATAGTTAATATGTAAAGTTATTGCTGGTATCTTCACATCTAAAACTCAAGAAAATATTATACTTCTTTCTAGAAATAGATGGGAAGATAAAGGTAACAATCGGAAGTATATAAGCGTCAGTAAAGAGAAAAATATATAGAATTTTTCAGAAAACAAAACAAAGGTTTCTATGTAATTTCTGTAAAAGAGTGTAATAGCAGAAATAATGAGTTTTTCAAGAAGAACCCATTAATAAGTAGAAAATACACTTTGACAATGAACTTTTGTTTTCATAGTTATTGTGTGACATTTAGTTGTGGAGTAGACTTTAGGTACGTTAAAATTTTGAATGGTGGGTTAGCAATAATATCAGTTACGATATGTAGCATCGAAGGGATTTCGGATCTATATTATTGCCTTGTAGTCCAATTTGTACCGTTCGAAATCTTCATGCTGTTAAATTTTCTACTCTGCCAACGAAAATGACCATTATTAACAAACCTCTCTAAAGTCTGATTGATGTCACAAAACTTTTAGTCGATAAATTTATTAAAATAACGTAGTGGAAAATGATTGTTCATATGTAATCATAGATCACTAAAATAAATGTTATATCGTTAAATTAAAGTCGTGTGAATCATTTAATATCTTTAAAAGATCGATCGAAATATTTAATATCTTCAAACATTTCATCACTGCTAATCAACTCTTACGCTATTTATCACTGTAGATTTAGTTGATTTGCATTGTCGACTATTTTTCATAAAAGAACAATGGAAGGTAGGGTTTCCAACGTTTATGTTCGTTTATGTTCGTGTTCATTTATGTTCGTTCGTTTATGTTCGTGTTCGCTTATATTCGTTTATTTATTAAATGAACGAATATGAAAAAATTATATTCCTTAATAAACGAACATGAACAAATTTTTTTTCGTTTATTTATTAAATGAACGAACATGAACATACCTCTATTCGTGTGTGTTTTGATTCTTTTACAGGCTACTAGGTAGTATTAAGTTTTGATTCCACGACCTGTCATCGCACAACTTCCAACTTGTTTTCCACGTGTCTTTTCCCAATTTGTTTGTTACCATTTCATTTTTACATTTTCCGAAAACACCTTTTTCTATGAATAATAAAATGCCAATCTTAACCCTTCCACTGTAATGGCATTTTTGTTTTAGTTTTGAGTTTACTTAACACCAGTTCTGCCTTTCGCTGCTTCTTCCCTTCCTCAAAATTCTCTTTTCCAAATTTATTTTATTTTCTCTTTAATTCCTCCGTTTTATGATCGGACGGTCCACATCTTGTTCCACTCATGACTTTGATGACTACTCCGCCTGTTGATGTACATACCATTCTTCTTCCCTCTCTTGACTTTCAATTCATACTTTAGTATTTGTATTTGAATTTTTTCTTTGTTAAAGTGCTGAACTGATTTTTTTTGAACTTTTCTTTTTTCTCTTCTTAGTTTCACTAGTAATTAATTGGACGTGGATTTCGTGGAATTGATCGTGCTTTTCTTGGTTTTGTTGAGAGAGTTAGGGTTAGGTTTTGGTTGAGAGAGTCAGGCTATGTTTTAGCTGATTGGGGCTTTGATATTTTGGATATTTGGATTTTGGAACAGCAAGAAGACGAGGAGATGCTCGTGCCGCATTCGGATATTGTCCAAGGACCGCAGCCAATGGAAGGTTTGTGTTTTTATTCCTTTTAGAGTATTTTAGTATACTCTAATAGACATTATTTTGTGAACCATCGTATCCAAATTCGGATATAATTATGGTGTGATAATGGAACAATATTTTGATTAGCTAGGTTGTTAGGGTTTTTGTTATTATTTTTTTGTTGATTTTATGGCTTTGCCTAATTTTAGTTGCTCAAGGTGAGCCGACTAGTACAGCTGAGAATCAGCAAGTGGAGGAACCTCAATCAATGAAATTCACTTGGACAATTGAAAATTTTTCTAGGCTCAACACCAAAAAGCACTATTCAGATATATTTGGTGTTGGTGGCTATAAATGGTAAAGTGGGAATTTCTTTGTTGTTGTTATCGGAATATGTTTGATTGGTTTGGTTCAATCTGTCATGTGATTGATTTTTGGATGATGGGTTGATTCTTCTGTTCAGGCGTGTGCTAATTTTTCCAAAGGGAAACAATGTGGATCACCTGTCAATGTACCTCGATGTTGCTGATTCTTCTACATTGCCATATGGTTGGAGTAGATATGCTCAGTTTAGTTTGGCGGTGGTCAATCAAGTCCATAACAAATATTCAATTAGAAAGGGTATATTCTAACTTGGGTGTTTAGTGGATATAGTTGATTTATAGCTGGAAGAAAGGAACTTTTGTGGTATTGACAATTTTTTCTTGTTACTAATTCAATATTCTGTTTATCCAAAACTTAGCTAGTTCCCTGCTTTTGGCTTTCATTTGCAGACACTCAACACCAGTTCAATGCAAGAGAGAGTGATTGGGGTTTCACATCATTTATGCCTCTCAGTGATCTTTATGACCCCAGTAAAGGGTATATTGTGAATGACACTGTTGTGGTTGAAGCCGAGGTTGTTGTCCGTAAGATACTGGATTACTGGTCATATGACTCAAAGAAAGAGACTGGTTATGTTGGACTTAAGAACCAAGGAGCAACTTGTTACATGAACTCGCTTCTACAAACTCTATACTATATACCATACTTCAGAAAGGTGTGGGTCTCATTTTTTAATTAATTTGGATTATCCTTATGCTCTAAGTTTAATTGGAGTTAAACATGTAATTTTCAATTTTTGTTTCAGGCTGTGTACCACATGCCAACGACTGAAATTGACATGCCTATAGGAAGTATTCCTTTGGCTCTTCAGAGTTTATTTTATAAGCTTCAATATAATGACACTAGTGTCGCAACGAAGGATTTGACCAAATCCTTTGGATGGGATACATATGATTCTTTCATGCAACATGATGTACAAGAACTCAATAGAGTCTTATGTGAAAAGCTTGAAGATAAAATGAAGGTACCCACATTTAAAAAAAGGAAAAAATATTCTTAGTATTTGCATCTCAAATCATGTTACAGTTGTTCCCCTTTTCCTTTTTCAGGGAACTGTTGTAGAGGGGACCATACAAAAGTTGTTTGAGGGTCATCATATGAATTATATTGAATGCATCAATGTGGATTACAAGTCTACAAGAAAGGAATCATTTTATGGTATTTGTTTGTTTCTGATGTTTATAACAATATAATTATGGAATACTGAATTTTTCCCTTAAAAGAAACATTAAGGGTGCGTATTTGTTGGCAGATCTTCAGCTTGATGTCAAAGGTTGTCGGGATGTTTATACTTCTTTTGACAAGTATATTGAAGTTGAGCGCCTTGAAGGTGACAACAAATATCATGCTGAAGAGCATGGGTTACAGGTTAATATTTTCTTTCCCTTTGAAGTAGTGAAAACTGGGCTAGAAATTTTGCATCAATAAATGGCCATTTTTTTGTCAGAATAATGCATAAACAAGGCTATGTTTGGCAATTTATTATTTATTTAGACTTTACCAGAATAATTTCTTTCTTTTTGGTGGTTTGAAATATGGATTGAGGGTTTAACCCATCAAAATCCACTTAAGCCATATTTTGCTGGCATAAACTTGGTTAATCAGATGAGTTTAAGTTGTGATGGCATTTAGTAATTGTGTGCCAAAATTTTGTTGCTTATTTCAGGATGCAAAGAAAGGTGTCTTATTTATCGACTTCCCCCCTGTACTTCAGCTTCAGCTAAAGCGGTTTGAATATGATTTTATGCGGGATACAATGGTAAAGGTCAGTGCTGGAAATCAGTTTACTTCTAAAGGAGTTGTATAGTTGGGTTGCATTTGCTACTTGCATTTTATTATACACATGTATTTTTAATTTCAAGGCTTT